GGGCGGACTACTGGCTTTGCGGAAGCGTGGAATTTAGAGTCCTCGCTGAGGCAGGGAGAAGTCCAACCCAGCAACAAGCACTAGCATACATAGACCCGTACGAAACAATCCGAGACAGCGGCAGCGGAGTCTTGAACTCTGAACACCAAGTAGTCATGATACTTAAGTGCCTCACCATGGCACCCCGCCCAGGTAGCTTACATCTCGGCCTACCTGCCGGAGATTCCCTACTACGTTCCTGCCGTGCTAGGATACTGTCGGTGTATCCTCCGGTGGCAGGTTGGTACAGGAGGGTATCCTCTGGTGGCAAGGTGGTACAGGAGGGTACCCTCCGGTGGCAAGGTGGTACAGGAGGGTATCCTCCGATGGCAGGGTGGTACAGGAGGGTACCCTCCGGTGGCAAGGTGGTACAGGAGGATACCCTCCGGTGGCAAGGTGGTACAGGAGGGTACCCTCCGGTGGCAGGGTGGTGCTGGAGGGTACCCTCCGGTGGCAGGGTGGTACAGGAGGGTACCCTCCAGTGGCAAGGTGGTACTGGAGGGTACCCTCCGGTGGCAGGGTGGTACAGGAGGGTACCCTCCGGTGGCAAGGTGGTACAGGAGGGTACCCTCCGATGGCAGGGTGGTACAGGAGGGTACCCTCCGGCGGCAAGGTGGTACAGGAGGGTACCCTCCGGTGGCAAGGTGGTACAGGAGGGTACTCTCCGGTGGCAGGGTGGTACAGGAGGGTACCCTCCGGAGGCAAGGTGGTACATGTACAGGAGGATACTCTCCGGTGGCAGAGTGGTACAAGAGGGTACTCTCTGGTGGCAGGGTGGTACAGGAGGGTACTCTGAAAACTACATCAGTTGGTGATTTCAAAAGGACCTGTTTGATGGCTACCAGAAAGGTTATGGGCCAAAAATGGAGAGGGGGGCTTAACTAGGCATTCTTTTACCCCTTCTGGAAGGGTATGCCCGGAAGCAGAAGCCCGGTACAGGAGGGTACTCTCCGGTGGCAGGGTGGTACAGGAGGGTACTCTCGGGTGGCAAGGTGGTACAGGAGGGTATCCTCCAGTGGCAAGGTGGTACAGGAGGGTACTCCAGTGGCAAGGTGGTACAGGAGG